CTAACACATGTTCTCGTGTGTTGTGGTGGCTACAGAATGATTCACGTGGTGGTGAACTGATGGAGTTAGGACAGTTACGTAGAAATTGATAAAGCAATGAAGCATATCAAAATGTGATCTTTTTGGTTAAATTTTGCTTTTGTAGTCATGTGTTTCAAATGACTCAGTATGGGGAAAGTTGGATTAGAGAGGGCTTGTAGAGGCTGTTTTAAGTCTAGGCTGCTTTCTGCATGACCCATGATGTCAGATCAAAACTCTCTAATTTGAAATACTGTTAAGAGGGATGTCTGCTTTTCATAGTTTATACTGAAGATATGTAAACCACAAATCATTTTATATATAACATGAAATAGATCTGTTGGTACTCTTCTATGAATATTTACAGGGCAAAAGAGCAGAGCTATGATATTCTTATCTCCTCATGACAGAACAGTACTGAAATAGTAGTGTTCCTAAGATATCCATTGCTAGAGGTCTATATAAAAAAATAAAAATCTGTCAGGAATGGCACTGGTATGAATCTGCTTTGGGTAGGGAGACACTAGATGAGTTCTTAAGGCTCTTTTAATTCCAGGCACTATAGATGAAATTTTGTAAACCTTTTAACCTTGCCCTTGAGAAGTGTTTTACCTGAACATCAGTATGCTTTCAGCCACTCTTTATGTATCAACAATGTTTGATTAACTAATTTATCTGTTAAAATGCTTGCCAAAATTATCCCAGGTTCTTCCTCTATGTAATTTTTTTAAGGAAGAGATACATGCTTGCTAAGATTCCCAGTTGGCTACTGTAGACATACCTACAAAAAACTGAGCCTGTTTCAGACTAGACATAAGATTGGACATCACAGCATTTCTGTGACATTTATGCTTGTCACCTCGTTTCAGTATAGCTCATAATCAGTTCTTCCCCTAATGACAGACAATATTTCAATTTTTCTCCGAGATGGCTAGGCTAGAAAAGAACCTTCTCTCTTAGCCCTGTCTCTTATGCATTTGGACTTTGACAGGCAATATCTGATAGTAATTTTGCTGGACTTAAAGATAGCAATATGATTGATGGCTAAAAAGACACAAGAAAAATAAGGATTTCTATCATTGACCTTCCAGCAACTTTCTTGAAAGAGAGAGTAATAAGTCAAGCTGCATGTGTACAGTATGTACTAAACTTACACTCTGTAGTACTTTTGAGTGAATATTTCTAGGCAATTATGTGTCAGGGAAATTATTTTACAGTTTTGCTTTTGATGGGAAGGTTGCTATTTTTAGTTTTTTTATTATTGCTAAAATCATTGTGAAACATTTCTGTTTAACATTTCCACAGATCAGTGTTTTTCAAACAGATTTCACAGAGAGACGTAGAACAGGCTCATTTTCTGTTCTGCCTTTTTCCCTCATTTTGGTTATTGTCCTACTCCAGAAATGCTTTTGCTGACCAGATCCTATATAACCATCTTTGAACCTAGCTTTTCGAGGCTAGTGAAGGGGAATCCTAGAATCATGCCAGCATCGTTTGTCTGGTTTGCCACAGTTCAAGTGAGCCCAGTGCATCTTGCTGAATGCAGTATTCCCTGGGAAAGAGGAGTCTTGAAGTTTCTCTTAGGACTGGACAAGCTTTTAGTGTAAACTGAGAGTGTGACTGTACTAAAATACAGAATTTAAGAAACCAGTTGTTATGCTTTGTGAAGATGCAGAATATTAGAGCATAGCTCTAATATTCCGTGACAACACAGTCACACTGCTTTATTGAGGTTCTGTCTTCTGCTGACCTGGTTGTCATGGTAGTCATGTTACCTCCCGGGATGCTTTCCACAGGTCCTAGATCTGTGATCTGAATTTTTGGACTTCTTATACATGGTTTATATCTTTTATGGTTTAGGGTGAGAGTTTCTCTTTATATCCTATTTTCTCAACTATGAATGTAAAAATTAGCAGCCTTAGTGTTTTGGCCTTACCCTTACTAAAATCTTTCCTTTTTGGTTTTTTAGATTTTTTTTTGAATGAAAATACTCCTCAAGTTATGAAAACTGTAGTATATCGTTAATAATTTATAACATACACATTATATACCACTTTTTATGAAAAAGGTGAAACAATAAATGTACGTACTACCCCTTGACAGAAGCTATTTAATGCCAAATAGTCTAGGAGTGCAGTGTATTTGGAGTAAAAAGTTCATAAACGTGGCTTAGTGACTAGGGTAAAAGAATAGGGCTATCATGGTTTTCCGTGGGCATCCATGAAATAAAATAGTGGAAAATACAAAGAACATTCTGCCAAGGCAATGTTCCTGAAGCACTTATGTTTTCTTCAGGAAAGTTGCTGTCTTAACTGCCACCGTAAAAGGATTTGAGGAATGTCTCTGCTAAAGTTCTCTCAAAGGTTCATCTTAGCATCTGGACTGCCCAGCATGTGCTGACTGAAGAGTTTAACATCAGTTGAGCAGCCATCACCACTTTTCCTCTAAACCATTATCTGAAGCGATGAATTTGTTGTCATTTATTTAATAATGACAAGAATCTTCCTTCATCCCCAAGAATCCTTCATCTCCCTTCATCCCCATCCCTTCTCTTAGGACCAATTGGTTGATGTGTGGTTGAGAGGGTGATCCTGATGACGCTGGGCATAAGCTCTTCTAGGGTCATACCCAGAAAGGAAAGGAGGGTCAGGAATAAACAGGGAAAAAACCTAACTTTGCCACAGTCTGTTCAAGTAAGTTGCACAATACTCTCATGGAAACAATAGGAAAAGTGAGTGTCATGGGGTGAGACAGACATAATTGAATAGTCTGATAAATTTGGAAGTTAGAAGAAGTGAGTGAGAGATGAGAGTAACAGGTGTTGTGAAGTGGATGGGTGACTATCGTCATCCAAGAATCATGATTTTGAAACTCACCAGGAAACTCGGAGCTCAGGAATAAGAGATCAATCTCCGACTTCACTCATGTCTTTATGGAGAAGTTAAGCTTAAAAAGAAATAATCTGTTTGTTTTGCAATGTTGATTTCCTTTCTGTACTTAGTGTAGATAAATTTAGTTTCAAAACATGAATTTAAATGTCCATTAGTGCAGCTATGATAAACATTAATCTATTTATTCCTTAAGCAGCATGTTTTCTAGAGCTATTTCTCTTGTTCCTTGCTCCACACTTTTTAATGTAAACTACATCATCAGTAAAAATAATCAGAAATTCTGTTAGAAACTAATGATGTATATGCAACTTTAGGCTAGTGTACCTCTTTGCTAACATTACCTAGAAGATTTTTAAATGCAGTCAGTCCAATACGCTTCTGGCTCCATTAATTACGTTTAGAAATCTTTACAAAGTATGAAGACATAGAACTCCTCTTAATGATGCTCTGCTGATTCAGAAACAAGACCTATAAAATGGAGTAGCCTTCTGTCTTCAGATGCATTGGACTTTGTCCACTCTCTACTCTAGATGCTTTACCATTTTAATTTCATATCTGCTCAGTTTCTCACTTGGCACAGTGGGCGCCTCAAGTGATCTTGTTTTTCATGCTTGAGTATGTGCTGGAACCAGAGTTGAAAACAGAGCTGATAAAATGTGGACAAAAATGACATAAAGCAGACTGGAGGGTGGGATAGATACTTTTGAAATCTGTTACATGAACTCACTTTTTTCCTGAGAGAGAACATGAAGGGAACAGAGTGTAATTCTTCCAACAGAGAGTGTAAAAAATGAAGGTCTGCAAGATGTGGTGCACATTGCAAGGAAACAAACTATTTCAAGCAGTGAGGCAGTTTTTACATGTTATTACAGCAGAGATAAAAAATTATATTAACATGTATGAAATGGTTAATTTCTGTATTAATGTGTGTAATATTATTTGTTTGCTATATGCTTGCATATTTTCCACATTGATGGAAATTAAGGGAACATGTGCAGTGAAGGAGAAAACCTAGTCTATGAAGCTATATCATACTGTAGCCTAATAAATTGAACTTTGTGGAATCTACCTTGCTGATTTTAACTATTTAATGAAAAGAGAATCAATATCTCCTCTCTAGGCAGATGGTTAACTCCTTTTGGATTTAAACACCTGCATTAGGAGAAGAATAGACAACTTGTTTCTGGAAGGTTCACACCCACAGGGTTGCACTTTGTTTCTGCAGTCTGGATAATTAAGAAAAAAGTGCTGTTCTGAAAAAAAAAAGTGAGAGCAAAAGCTAAAGCTAGGCATTTTCTGTATTTGCTTTTTAAAGTACCTTTCAAATTCTTGTGTCTGTATTGCATTTTACATGTAATGCTATTACTTATTACTTCAGAACCCTTCCTGTATCTCCCCTGTACACTCTTTCCCATGCAGGGGGAGGTCTTTTATGATTGCAAAAGTGAGACAAAATTTTAGCTGTTTTATTTATAAACACCTAAAAAAAAATCCGTAATTTGTATGCAAAGTGCTGGAACATCCTGAACCAAAGTGATGTCACTGGATAAGTCCTTCCAAAGTGACTTAAGGTGGACAAAAGACAAGGAGGTTCTAAAGGAGAGAGAAAAGAGTGAGGAGAATAACACTAAAGCTTCTTCTTCAGCCCCAGTTATTTTCAATTGCTGATGGTCAGTAGAAATGTTTTCTCAAGCAAAATGCCTTTGGTTGTTGATTTTATGCAGACAGTTTTCTGTCTTACAAATCAACAATGTAGCACCTTCCTTTTGTTTTGGATATTTTTTGATTTCTTTTCCTTAAAGGCAATTACTTTTCATTCATGTCTTTCATAGCCACAGGAATTGGTTCAAAGTAGGGATAGCTTGTCTGGTTTTCTTTCATGTATGTTCATACCTTACTTCATCAAGTCAGTATGCTTCTCTGTGTTGGGAGAGACTGCAAGTTGCTGGTATTTTATAAAGTTGATTTTTATGTCATTAAAATGTAATGAGTTTATTATGTTTTTCTTCATTTTAATTTCATTTCAGAAAAAAATTGTTTATGCTCCATCTTCTGAAAACCAATTTAATACTAACTTCTTTTATTGTGCAGAGCTGGTTATTTGCCTCAGAATATTCCTTTGGAGATTATGAGGTACCTTTCAGAGGAAAAGGATTTTCTGCCTTGGCATGCTGCCAGCCGAGCTCTTTATCCTCTAGATAAATTGTTGGACCGTACAGAAAACTACAATATCTTCAATGTAAGAGATACAGTCTTCCTTTCTTTCTTCCTCCAGTTCTTCCTGTCTTTCTTCCACTTACTCTCTCTGTCTGTCTGTCCTTCCTGGCTTTCTTCCTTTTGCCTCTTATTCTCTCATATTATTGCCAAGATTTGAACTGTTCCCCAGGCAGATACTGTTAATGACCTAGGGATATTAACTTTCATCTTAATTACTCTTTATTTAAACATAGCGATTATCAAGCTTTGGTTCATTTGCAATTGAACAGTGATAACTGTTGTTTGAGGCATATATGACTAGAAGAAGGAAAGGTAATTATCCCTCGTGTAAAATGTTATGACAAATAAAGTATTTCACTTACAAGAGTCAAAGTATTCTATTGCCAGATTTTTTCTTTTGAGGAGCCCCATGGTGATATTTAGGTGGATGCCCAAGATCAGCAAGAACAGCAAATATAGGCACAACTGAGCAGAATACACGCAACTGAAGCAAAGATTTGTAGTCATTATTTCATCCCAAAATCCATGGTGAATTCAATGCAGTTACCTTAATTAACAAGAATTAGATCACCGTGGAGTCAAAAGCCCATTCATAATTGTGTCCAAAGGGACAGCAGTAGCAGCTCATAGTAGATAATTAAGATAGACATGGCAAATATTTTAACATTTAGCTGTAGCTACACTGAAGCATGGTTTATGAAGTACACAGATTTGACTACAGCCAGTGACAATTATGAACTCTTGGGGTTTTTATTCACTATGAATTTTATGTAGTCTACATATTTTCAACAGCCAGCATACGGTAGCTTTATGTAATGTTGTAAAGCCTTCAAATGAAGGAGCTTTTTAAAGCCTGAAATGCCTAAGGATGCTTTTTGCTTCTTAAATGCATATTTGTTTGTATGTATGTGACCATAGACACCATGCTTAGAGAGAAGAAAATTACAAGTGACTGTATGTATATATGTAGATGTTAATACAAATGTAGATATATAGATATGTAGATAAACAGACATGCACACACCCCATACATATACACAGAGTTACCTGATGACAGGGAAGATTATTTCTGTGAAACATATGCTAAGGCCTACATATAAACCAGAGCCTTAATGTAAAATGCAGTTGAAATAATTTGCATATTTAGTCTGCTGTTAACTGTAAAGAAAAATTCTTGGGAGTCTGCCATTGCTATTTCACTTTTAAACATGGTTGTATAAAGAAAACACAATTTTAATAAATAAAACCAGTAAAATTCACAGCTGGGTTATGTTTTATCACTACTGATGGGAGTTTCGAAAGCTGAGCTGATAGCAGAGAAAATAAAAAGTCTTTTTAGTCACAGAATAACATATCTGCTAGAGAAAGCTGCAGTATGAATCTTCTTTTGTGTTGACATATATACATGCCTATGCATCTGTAATAATAAAATAGATGCTCTCCTATGCAGTTCTGTATATCTTGGTTCTCTTTTTCAAATTGGTGAATTCCACTGGAAAAAGATTACACTGAATACACAGACAATGGTTTTCTTCAAAACTGGTCAGAATATGTAAATATGTCGTCTGTGTAAAAAGTAGAAGTTGCTAAAATATATCTTGTGCTTGTTTTGTTCCTTAAGCACACCAGGAGCCTAAACTTAAAGCATAGTGTCATTAAGTTTACAGAGCTTATTTGCAGCCACATTGTTGCATATTCTGAAGTCAATTGACTGTACTCACATAATGTTTTGACCACGGTTATGGATATTAAAACAGTGTTCTTTTAATAGTGAACATGCTAGGTGTAGTCAAGATTGGCCACAAAGTAGAAATTAAGCTATTGACACCCTTGTAATTTTTCAGCTGTGCATTATGAGTTCAAAGTAGCATGTGATAAACTTTTGAAATTCATGGATTTTATAACAATAAATTGTCTTATAATAGGCATCTAATCAAGTAGCTCATCTAGAGACTGCTTCTTACTATAGCAGTGAAGGAAGATTGTAAGTGGACAGGTAGCTTTGCTAAGTCTTTGGAGTTGGACATTATGTGAGGGTACAAACAGAGACCAAACCTCACTAGTTAGCAATATTTCAGTTTCAAGTAAAATGAATTATTTTTAATGTTAAATATACTTTTCTTTTTCTCCTCAGGAGTATATTTTAAGACAAGTGGCATCAATGTATCTGAAGCTTGGATGGCCCACAAACAATTTAAACAAATCACTTGTTCAAGCATCATACCAACATGAGTACTGTTATATTTAATTTTTTATTGATTAATTGAGAAATATAGTTATAGAAATGCACCCTCCTAAAAATTAGTAATGTGTAGCATAAATCAATCGTAATTCCTTAGCTCTGTCACCCCTCTGTTTTTTTCTATTCTGGGTTGCAGGGAAAGTAGAAACATGCTGTAAGATGAATTCTTCTTTCTTAAGTTGGGAGAACATGATTTCCTAAGCCCCAGCTTAATATCTGATTGCTGTGGATTTCTAAGAACTTGTACTTATGTGTCCACAGAGGTCGGGAAGAGTGCCTAAGTGTAAATGGGGGCTGGTTTTGATCCGTGACCTTTCTTTATTTGTTGCAGGCATTAAACTGACACTGAGATTTCTAAAGCCAGATTGTCTTTGATATGTTGCCCAACTACTGCTTGCTGTCACTTGTTATAAGAAGTATTTTTTGCAAACACTCAAACACATTTGTTAAAGTAACCTTATTGCTTTCTTTAATTTGGCCAGAGAGCTGCGTCGGGAAGTCATCATGTTGGCCTGCAGCTTCGGGAACAAACACTGTCACCAGCAGGCTGCAACGTTAATCTCAGACTGGATTTCCAGCAATAGGAACCGGTAAGTGGAGCTGACATGTGTATCTCACAACTCTCCTACTGAAAGGCAGTGCAGCTCTTCCTTTCCTGCCTGCCTTCTCTGCTGTGCCCTCTTTTGCAAAGTTTATTACTGGAGGAAGCAGAGGTTGCTGGCTGTCATTTAAAAATGTCTGTGGGGTTTCAGAACGAATTATTTGACTTTGCATATATGGGATTCTGCCCACTCCTGGTAAATTACTGTTGGATAATTCTGTGCTAGAAGATGAGAAGGCAAGTTTTAAGGGTGATTTAAAGGAAGAAAGATGAGTGAACACCTTGTTGTCAGACAAACATGAAACCTGTGTTGAGGTAAGAGAGCAGAAGGTGCTAAACATTTAAAGAAGTGATGGGAGTTAGAGACAGAAGGACTGAGAAGTAAGGAAGGAGATGTTTTGGAGGGAAATGTTAGAAGATATTTAAGGGTGAAGACTTGAAAACTAATGTTATTGAGGAATACATGGAAAAGCTTGTGGAAGGTTTCAGAGGGCAGATAATATTACAGCTGATGCCTTTAGCATAAGCAGCACTGTAGTGGTTTGACAACAAATGTGTAAGTTAGGCTGCCAAGACACAGGTTTATTCAGCTGAGGCAAAGGAGCATGGGCCATGGATTGTGTATGAAGTTTATCTTTTAAAGGCAAGCATCTAAGAAATATGACATAACTGAAATTTCAAATATTTAAGTAAGTAGTGGTCTATGGACAATGAGATCGGTGCAGAGTATAGGTTAAGATCACGACTTCTTTAGAAAGAATAGTGGATTTTCTGATGATGTGAAATATTTACACTGTATGCATTTATAAGTGACATAATATTTTGGTTTTAAAAAGAATATTATACTTTCAAATAGAAAAGAAAAAGATAAGAGAAAAAGTCTCTCATTTTTAGTCACAGTCTTGTATTAGCTTGGCAAAAGAATCAGATCTCTCTAGCCATACCAGTAAGCAGGATTTTTCAGAGATTTCTTGGACTTATTAGTGTTTGTTTGCAATTAACTTATCTCTGTCTGTCTTTGTAGTCTTTAAAAATCCTGTATGGGCATACTCAGTAACATAAGTGTCCAAGTGTCTTTCAAAACCAGCCAGGAAAGGAAATTACTTTCCTACATGACTTTGAAACTTCTGGAAAAATAGTAGCTTGAAACTGTTACTGGATACCTTTAAGTAAGATGTGTGTGAGGTGGAGGGTTTTCTTGTGTAAGGTGACACCAGATATATTTACTATGAAATATATACCCCAGGGTTTTATATGAATTCTTATCATAAGCAGCAACAATCAGTATGAAGCTATTTAAAGAGGCAATTATAGAGAAAGAATCATTGGAAACAGTCTGCAAAAGTAATTTACTTAGATATTCATTTGCAAAATTAGTTAATCAAACCTAGCATTACCTATTAGCATGCACAGCAGTAGATTATTCGCTGTTTAAAAAGCTGTCACCCTGCAAAGGTACCTGCCTGTGTCTTTCTAATAGGATTAAGAAAGGAGGCATCAGAAAAGAAAAACATAACAAAACACAAGCTTACTGCTTTACTAACAGTAGCAAGAGAGAAAGGGAATAAATTTAAGGAGCTGTCTGAAGATTCATCTTAGCCTTTCAATGGGGCCATTTTTGGTAGCAGAAGATTGTGGTTGCCAGCATATGATGAGTATTATGATAAAAGCACCACAGCAGGGCAGAGGAGAATAGCTACTAAGTTAAAGCAATGTGTTTCTCAAAGGAACTGCACAGTTTTGAAAAATGGCTGCAGCAAATAATGTAATTACAGAATAGAGATTGACAGTCAGCTCATAAATAGGGGCACAACTGGCAAAGATAGAGACACGCTTTTATTTATTTTTTTTAAATTGTAGGATTTGTTCTGTCATGCGCTCCAGAATTTCCCAGTTTTCTCAGAACAGTCTCACATCCTGAATGCAACTAATATATGAACAAAAATTATTTCCTATCTACTTACATTGAAACAACATTACAAACACCACTAGTAATAGCAGCTCAGTAAACATAAAATCAACTTGTGTTTCACACAATGAACAACATTCAAAGGGTATGTCAGTGTTCTCAGGAATGTTCAGATCCTGTTGAATCAGAACTATCCCACAGCACCTTTACTCAGTTTAAGCTAACTCAGACTGAAACCTGAAAGTAAAGCAAGGGCTCTTTTTTCTGCTTTTTTACTAAGAAACCAATGATTCCACAATCAGAATTTAATTAGCATGGTGTTTGAGTCATGCTTCTGCCTCTTTTAGCACTTTAGAGGCAATAACTAGCTCAAGTGCAAAGGGCAAGATAAGTCCAAAATATATGCATAGAGCATATCTAAGAGGTACTAGTTTGTATTCTTTGTCATCAGTCAAGTGTTTTGCTCAGTTTGATGCCCTTAACAGCTGCTTGTGAATTTGTTGCAAACAGCCTCCTCAGAACCTGTAAGATTCCCTCAGACCTTGCTTCCTTACAAAGAAGGGGAAACTCACTGTCCTCTTTCTCCAGACTTTTCTGACAACTGGTGAGAAAAGTTGGTGACAGATACAGAAACTCTGTGTATCCTTGCCTATTTGATTCCTTGTCAGCAGATAATGTTGGGTTTGCCATTCCCTTTTCTAAAACAAGACCATGTAATTGATGGTTACAGAAAGCCTGGTTTTGGTGGGTTTGAATAGCCAGAGTGCAAAAACAGAGTTCCAGAGAGCTCAGAGATATTTTATATATAGAAACAATTTGAGTGTCACTGTGACAGTAAAAATAAAGCTTAATTTGCAACATTACCACCCGTCCTCCCGCCCAGAAACTTTATTCTGGAAGATGACAGAAATTTTTCAAAGCAGTAGAGACAGTGAAATTAGGTTTGTGTCTCAAGATTTTAATCAAGTGAAAATTAAGTGAGTATCAAATTAAAATATGATATTAAATACCACATAAATGCACAATCAGTAAATCATATAAGGGAGGTTTTTGATTCCCTGGCAGTTACTGCAATTAAAGCTGAAATAACTATAACAGAGAATGTGCTATTAATAATACTGAAGAAATCCTAACATTCATAACTTTTTTAGCCACATTAATAATCTATGACTTTTTAGATGTCCTTTTGAAATGTTTTACTTGTAATATTTGGTTTTGGATGAAGTGTCAGGTAGTACAGTAACATGTGTGTTTTACTGGCATATGCTTACAATTGCTGTGATTTTTAGTAATTACATTCAATCTGGTAGGTCCAGAAATGAATTACCATCTACTCTTCACAATAAGAAAGTGAAGTAATCGTGATGTCAGATACTGTTAGCATTTTGTAATTATATATTCTTTACTGTGCAAATAATTTGCCACTGTTCACCAAATAAAATAATGGTCATTCTTGGTGCAAGAGCAGAGGTCTTCTTGTATTTTCAGTACTGTTTGAAAAATAGTACTTAGATTTCCAAGTATAGTGCTGCAGATTTTCTTCTGGAAATAGTGAAAAATCCCAATTTATGTGTGATCTACAACATTAGCCTCTATGAATGAAGGTGGAAGTCAGCTGAGAGGCTGTGAAGACTGGAATTTTTAAAGTGACTTAGGTATTCATTTTTGGATGCTTGGCTCATAGAGCAGAATCAGATGCTCAGAGTTATGCTTCCTACAGGGGGATTTAGGGGCCTCTGAAGTGCAGCTGGCAGCAGCCACTGTGCTGTGAAGAGCCTCTTAACATGAGATTCTGAAGTGTGAGTGGGCCCTCTTAGGGTCCAGCACTACAGGTAGTAGGAAGGATACCTATATCAAATGAATACATAAATGGCAATCGTAGAGTGTGGGGTCCTTGCAAAAGATGCCTTTCAATGTTGTCACTAGAGCAGGAAAAGGACTGCTCCTTTTCTTTTCCAGCACAACTGCTCTTCAACACCATTTCAAGCAGTAGTGCTGAGATTCCAGCAGTTTGCTGTGCTTTGGTTTATACCTCAGCCCTGCACCTGCCAATGCAGAAAGCAAGCCTGACGACCTTTCTGCGAGGTGTTTGGGACAGTGTTAAGATACTGCAACACACTTTCCTCTTGTGGCTTCAGCTCAGCCTCTGGAATTTATTTCATTAGCAAGAGAAATGATACAGCTCTCCAGTCTAAAGATGAGAGAGCATTCATCTGAAGGACAAGGAGCTTCAGTACCTGAAATACCAGAAATACTTAGTGTGCAAGGGACTTTAGGTGGTATTGCTTATGGTCACTTTTTCAGGGCAAAATGCAATGGAAAAAAAAAGAAGTCTGAGAAAGAAGTTTGTTTGTACAAGGAGCAAGGCAAACACATAGCATCAGAAGCAGAAGAGATTGTAAGGACACATCTTGTTTTGCTGGTTTAGGAGTTGGTATGTTTTAATCCTTGCAGTTGTTAAAAAATAGTCATTATTTCTTTCTACTGAAGATCTGGGGTTAGACCTCAAAGTAGGTCTTGCAGTGTTGTAATCAATGAATTTAAGTAGTTTTACTCTTTTTTTAAAATTAAATTGCTTGAAGGGGTGTATTTACTTCTGACTTGATGGTGATCTTAAAACAATCATTTTCACTCTCTTAAATTGGGATATATGCTGCTCCTGTACTGGAACAATGGAAACCCTTGAAACTTCCATGCTGATGTTCAGAAGAATACAGAGTAGAAACCATATAACCATGTTGAAATTTCCCTTGTAGTTTGAGAATGTAAAGTTACTGAGATCCAGTCAAGAGCAGAATGTTGTACAAGAGAAGCTACTGTTGGCTGAAAATAAAGATGTTTGCTTCTACCTTCATTTAACTGAGCTCATCCCTGTGGAGCTTTCATGTGTGAAGAAATACATTATTCACACTCCTTAGATATAGCAGCATTGTGGTTCAGCCTAAAAAATTAACAAAATTACCATTCAATGCCTGCCTGAGCTTAATAATCAGCCTTGTTAACCCCTTTAACCTTCACTGCATCTATTCTGAAAGAAAAACATGTTTCTAAGAGGATTAGCATTTTCAGACTACTTCCTT